TCGGCTTATAAATAGAAGGTCCACTCGTGAGTGGAGTATCTTTTGCTCATTCCAACAAATTGAGAAACACGTTTGTGAGTGCCAAGAAGAGCAAGGTCCTAGTGAGGTGTTTGTGATTTGAGAATCCAAGAGAGTAGCCTCACTAGCAAATCAAGAGTAGCAAAGTGTGCATCCATCTTCTCATTAGGCTTCATGTGGTCAAGTGAGAGTTCGTGTTTGTTACTCTTGGTGATCGCCATCACCTAGACGGCTTGGTGGTGATTGGGAGTTTGGTGTGTTTACCGGCGAGCTTGTGGGTGACCCAACTCAAGTTGTGAGCGGTTTTGGGTGATTCGCCATGACGGAGTGTCAAGAATCAACCCAGAGAGCACTTGATCCTTGCGCGGATCAAGGGGGAGCTACACCCTTGTGCGGAGTGCTCCAACGAGGACTAGTGGGGAGTGGCGACTCTCGATACCTCGGCAAAACATCGCCGCTGCCCTTTCTCTCTCTATTTACGTTGAGCACTTACTTTGAGTATTTACTTTGAGCATTTCAATACTTGTCTTACATCCATAGAATTGCTTGCTAGAGTAAGTTTGGAACGTTGATTGAGAGGTTGTTGTGCATTAGTTTGATATAAACACTTTTTAGGCACAAGGGGTTAATTGGGCTATCCGTAGGATTTGATTATTGCAAGAAAATTTAGAATTAGCCCAATTCACCCCCCCTCTTGGGCATCTTGATCCTTTCACACATGATTAAGCATATATAGATATAAATAAATTAATATAATCCCAAAGCAACAGGACCAATCAAGAGTTTGGGGAGGGGGAGGGGGAGTGGGGGGGGGTTGCAATCGTGTCAAAGAGAAGAGTTTTAATCTTTGGGACGAATCAGTTTGTCTTTCTCGAGGTCTTTTTCGCAAAAGCATCAGGGGCTAGGCCTGGCCAACTTTTGGCCTGTTCGACCTTAGAGCCGCGTGGCGTTTGGGCACGCGTCCTGACCCGGCCTCTCCCGGCGCCCCCGCCTGGGCCTGCCGCAGCGCCCCTCTTGGGCCTTAGCCGCGCCGGGCCTTTTCTAGGGTCTCGAAGGAAATTTGTTTTTCCTTTTTTTTCTTTTGCTGCAAAAACTTCAAAAATCCACCAAAACTCGTAGGAAAATCAGAAAAATGCCAAATATTTTTTTGTTAGCTTTATAATTTTTTTCTCTATCCTTAGATGCTATGTTCCGTCTTAGGTGGTGTGATATCCATAGATGTAATTAATTCGTGCTTGCATTTGTCATATAGGTCCCATGGAGACCGCAAACACGCCTGAACGGATCTCCTACTTGCAACATAGGAGTGGTAGGTGCTCCAATGGATCTCCTATATAATTTCGTGTTACTAAATTTTTAGATGTCCTAAAAAGATCATCCTCTTCCCTAAAGAAAGGAGAGCCCCTCCCTCCCCAATACAACAATTTTTTGGGGTGGGGACTTTTTCTGAGCACGTGCCCTGCCTTCCTCCCTCCCTCCGTTTTGGCACTCCTCTTCCTCCGTCACTACATCTTTCTCTACTGGGAGCCACTCCCTCTTACCTTCTAGATCTCATCCACCTCCAACTTGGGGCTGAGTAGATCCATGATGGTCGTGACTGGATCCATGGCTAAGCCGATCGGATCAAGCTCTAGGATGCTCCTCATTGTTGGGGCCAAGCTCCTTTGTGCCACCATAGAGGGGCGATAATGGTAGGGTGGAAGGGCAGAGTTGTGCCGATGGTGACACCAAGAAGAGAGAGATGGAGTAATATCGACTAGAGAAGAAGAGAGAGATGGAGCGATGTGGAAATGAGAGAGGAAAGAGATGGGTATTAAAAATGAAAATAAAAAAGAACTCAACGACTGAGGACCCCATATGTCAAGCGAATTTTAGGAGAGAGGTGGGATTAGTAATATGCTTGAAGGAGGTGACAAAGAATAAAAAAGATGGTGGACAGAATATACCCTATATGTTCTTTTGAGATACGGTGGATAGGAGATCTATTGGGGATGCTCTAAGGTCACCTACAAAAGAAGTTCCAATGGCGGACTTAGGACTATCCGATAGGGGGCTCGCTACTTGTTTCTCCTCTCTATTCCTATACCTCTATTTCTTCTCCTTCCTCTTCTTTATCTATGTCTAAAATTGTTTGGGGCAGGTGTTAAGGGGATCCATTGCCTGCAAGAGGGTAGGGGGTGGATTCACCCTTGAAGAAATCCATGTATATTGTTTGGTGCACCAAAATTAGCAAATATTTGGTTATGACCTATATCTTTTATTTTTATTATACACTTAGGAAACCTAAAATGTGAACGCGCCCATATTCAGTAGGTATGGAAGGTTACGGTTGGCAACAACTTCTCTTTCTTCTCCTGAGGCACTTTTATTTCCTCACGCGTCTTATTTCTCTTCTTCGCCCTCAAGCATACCTAACCTTCACCCATCATAGAGCCATCAACCCAAAGGCTATTCACGATCCGCAATGCAAAGATGATTGTGTTATTGTGTTCTTGTTGAAACACTATGCCTTGCAAGAGTACGTTGGATGCTTGAGCTGCTGGAAGACCTCACCACTTTTAGCTATGGTTGTCGCTGCTATTTTCTAGAGTGAGGAGTTCTAGAAGCCGATTTGAAACTTGGATCTTTCTTAGCAAAAGTTTCGATTGAGTTGTATTATGAGACATGATTCAACATTTTGTGTCTAAAGTTTTCAAATTCGAGTTGAAAGGAAAATGTTGTAACCGAAAGTTTTGGATCTGAGTTGAAGATTTTTTATGCAAGTTGGGAGTTATGAAGTTGAGTTAAAATTGAGGCAATCGCTAAAGAACTTGCCTTATTCAAGTTGAAAGATGGGATCTTGGAAGTGGTTAGAGGAGGTGAACTTATTCAAGTTGAAAGATGGGATCTTGGAGGATTGGAAGTGGTTAGTGGGGTGAACAGCCATCCCCGACAGGGGAGGTAAGTTTTCTAACAATAGCAAATAGAAAGCCTCAACAATTTGCTTGTATGAATTAATAGAAACCATTTGTCAAAGAACAGTTTGAAAATACTCTGATACTATATCAGTTGCATAGTCAAAATCTGCAAAAATAAAAATAAAGTGCAATGTGTTGATAATCGCTTCAACGTATGATCTAATTAAAAAGAACAGTATTATGTCAAGAACATTCAACAAACAGCACTGATTGGAATGGTTAGAAGTGAAATGTCATATGGAGAAAGGGCTGTTTAGCTTGGCCTTTTTAAGTAGACAAACCAATAGTTTGGGTAGCCATGCTGAAACCTAAGGGATGTCAATTCCAGATAATTTTTTAGCTTATGACCATACCGGGCAGGACTTCTTCCACAATCATCCATCTGTACTAGAACCTGTCCAAATGGGCTTTTATGAGTCTTTTTTTACTTTTCTTTTTAATATAAGGAAAAAGTCCACATTACCTCCCTCAACTTTTGCGAAAATCTGCGTTTCCTCCTAGAACTCTAAAACCGGATAAACCACCTCCCTGAACTTTTAAAACGTTCGTTTTACCTCCCTGACGTTATAAGCAGTTTTGTGTTTTTCTTTTTTATTTATTTCGGCTGAATCTTTAAAAAATCATAGTAAATCACAGGAAAATCATAAAATAAAAAATCCAATTTTGTTGGACTCCACGTGAGTAGATCTACACAGTGAACATATAATATCATATGCTTTAATACAAATTTTTTGCTGTAGCTTTAAATCCACTTTTATACTCATTGGATCATGTATAACTTACTTATAGATTTATTTAGGTGTATGCTTGTTAAAAAATATTTATAAATCTAAAGCATAGATCTAAAGCTACAACAAAAAATTTGTATTAAAGCATACAATATTATATGTTCACCGTGTAGATCTACTCATGTGGAGTTCAACAAAATTGAATTTTCCATTTTATGATTTTTCTGTGATTTACTATGATTTTTCAAAGATTCAATCAAAATAAATAAAAAAGAAAAAAAGAAAATCGCCTTTGAAAACTGCTTATAACCGGTCAAGGAGGTAAAACGAACGGTTTGAAAAGTTCAGAAGGTAGTTTACCCGGTTTTAGAGTTCAGAGAGGAAAAACAGACTTTCGCAAAAGTTGAGAGAGGTAATATGGACTTTTTCCTTAACAGCCTGTTCGCTGATTGATTTCTAGGTTGATAAGCCTGGCTGGTACTGATTTGTTGTGAGAGAAAAACACTGTATCATGGCTGATAATTCCTGACTGAAACCAACAAACGAACAGGCTGTAATATAATGATACACAGTTCTCATACGTGTCAAAAAAAAAAGATTTGACTCAATTCGGCCCAGTAGTCTAGGCAATGCAGATTTTTTTTAAAGCATAACCAAATTCCTGCATTCAACCAAGTGCTGACAAAATTGAGGTCACTAGTGCAGTTACTTGCTGGTGACCTAAGGCCATGCCCAGTTGCACATATCACTAACCAACACTAACATCATCCACATTGTCTTGGCTGATAAGTCAAGACCCTGTTCACTTGGACTTATCAGCATGGTACAGTGTTTTTCTTAAAAAAAAAAGTATCAGCCGACTTATCAGCCACAAAACCATCAGCCCTGCAATGCAGACACGAACAGACATACTCAACAGGATAAAACAGATGAGCGAACAACCAATTCAGCACTGACCGTAAACTGCAATATCACAAACATTATTCTATTATCCTCCTTTTTTAATTTTTCTGCAATAAGGTGATATATTTTCCATACAGAGATAAGCTATACTTTCTCCATGAGCCATATGCTACAGAAAACCAGCAAAAACCTGGTCCAAAAGCACGCTACAAATGTTAGCTGAACCAAGTTAGCAGACAACGCACATTGTTATGTAAATCAGGGCAATTACAACACTCCCATGAACAAACGGACGTCCATTGGTGGTCGGCAAATAGAGGCACCATGATCCACGAGGCTAAAGTAAACTGCAACTAATGGTTGTTCCTAACCTGCTTGCTGATGTGACCTGAGACTATGGTTGCTTCAGATGCCCCTCCCCTTCAGCAACCCCACCCACAGAGGTGGAGCTGTGGGTTATTGAGCTCAGCTGAGATGGCTGACAAAGAAGTTCTGCCTCTGGGTGCCGTGCATTGAGAGGAATCTCCAGCAGCAAGTCTTGATCAGAGTTGGCATATTGAGGAGGGACAAATAATGATAACTTTTCTGGGGGTAACACAAATAAGTTAAGTGCTCCTCCAGTGCAAGTTGAATCTTTGGTGGCGTAGCCAGATTTTGGCAAAGATGAGTTTTTAAATTGAGTCGTCAAAGCTCCAGATTTTAGAACTCTTATAGGACTCCTCATGGTACCATCTAGTTCTGCATGTTCACAAGCAAAGAAAATAAGAAACCTTTCTGTTACAGACATAAGGAAATAGTAAAATAGGAATATATACTACATAAGACATTTTTGGATGTCACATCTAGAAACTTGATGCAAGTCAGGATTAGAGAAAATAATATTGCTAACCTGAGTCGCTCTGAAAGTGGTTGTCGTCACGGGATCTTTTGACTGGTTTTATGGTAGACTTGGTAAAGCCTTTTGATCCACTGATATTCTCCACTCCTCTTGTTTCCTTAATTTCCTTTTCCTGAACAAAGAGAAATACCTAATTAGTCATGTACAAGCAAGCTTGGAAGTTCATATCGGCAATAAGTCAAAAGAAGATAAAGTGGAAGGGTTGCCCCAGGGGAGGGGGGAGGGGGATGTCCGTAAATGTATTAGAAAGCCATTTGCATACCTTTAGCTGTTTATAGCACTCCAGCCATTTGCATTTTGTTAAATTAGTTAAGGCAAGTGTCTTTACTTTCTTCCACTCTTCATCACTACAGAAAGATGAATCAAGAATTCCCTCTCCAAGCAGTAGACTTGAGCGTTTTGAGGGCCGGGCCAGGCCGAAAAAAGGCCGATTATTTGGGGCCGAAAAAGTCCCGTCCATGACCATCCCACTGGGCAAGTCGGGCCTAATTTTTCAGGCCGTGCCCGGGCCTGGGTGGGCCGCCCGCGCATTTTACACTGTAAAATAGCTAAAATAGTATTTCAGGCTGGGCTCGGGCTAAGAATTTTTTTTCTGGGCAGCGGGATCTGTGCCCAGGCCCTGTCCACTATGGTTCGTGGGTGGGCCAAAACCCGGGCCAGGCCGGGCCGGGCTCAATTTACTCAGGTCTACCAAGCAGCATTTGGTAGCTGTCTATAGCATCAGAAAATTGGATAGAACTAAACATGGGTCTAAGGCTGCAGCAAGAACAAGATACAAATGAGGACTAGCGTAAAGTGGCCTCAGGTTGTGTTACTTAAATTATGGGCAAGAATAAAGTAAACCTTTCAGGTGTCAAGGAGTCTAACAGGAGGAAGAAATTTGAGCAACTGTTGTTGGTCCTCTTTAGTTAGATATTTCATGAAGTTAGTATAGTTGATAACATCCTGCTCAAGAAGAAGACAGTATATACATGTTTAGTTTCAATGATGATTAGCCAACATATGTATATGTTAAACATACTCAGTGGTGTTCAGTCCAAATAAACATCTGCAGACTACAGATCATCAACCCAAACAAAAAAAAAAGCATGTATAGGACGGATACCTCTAAATCTGCTGAAACTAAAGGTGAATCGACACTCTCCAGGATATGTTGATTTTCATAATGAAGTTTATCCCTGCAAAACAAAGATAAGACCGAAAAAGAAAACTTAGATTGTTTCTTACCGAAGTAACCTGTGTAACCAATACTGAATGAACATAGACAATAAAACCAATGCTGAAATGCCCACTTCTATGCTAATAAGAACATAAAAAGTATAATACCTTCTACCATTATCTTCAATACGCAGAAGTGACCTTTTTGGTCTCACAGTTGCAGCATTTAAGTTGATTGCTGCCTTGTTTCCACTATGAGAGACAAACGACACAGACCCTGAATAGGATTCACTTGTAATGTATGATTTATTATCTGCAGGAAAGGAGCTTGCTTCTGATTCTTCCTCCAGTGATTTTGAGTTCGGATGCCTTAGAAGCACACTTCCAGAGCCAATCTCAAATGAACCAACAGGAGTTTCACTATGGTACAGTAGGTCTTCCTCTGATGATCCTGAAAGGTAGTATAACTGCTCTTCATGCATGATGGAGTTAAGATCTTTTGCAAGCTTTTCTACAGATGAAGGCTTCGGACGAGTGACACAGCTCCTCTTTCTTGATGGCACTAGGGATTCCCAAGCATGTGATTGTGCTGAACCTGAATTGGCAATATATCATAGTCAAATGACATATATAACAAAAAAAAAAAGGAAAGGTAATTTCTAGAGTATAGAAAATCTTGGGAATTGATATTAGATCTTTATTTTGTTTCATAGGCTCAATGTGATTAAACACCACTTCAGAGATGTGGTAAAGGACGACACGCTATTGCATATCATGCATCAAGTATTGATTTTTTTTAGCAAACCAAGTATTGATATTTAGTTAAACATTGTCTTATTAGATATTATGCTCCATGCCATCTGAATCCAATATGTGGACCACAATCGTTCACGGTTACCCCATGATAATAGTAAGTAATTTAGTCACAAGTAGCTAGTGATTTATCAAACCACCATAAGTTCTAAACTTCTTGCGAATTCATAGTTCTAAACTACAGACATAACAGGAATTTACTAAAAAATATATTTGGGTGGCACCAATACGGTTGTGAAAAACAGAGAAGAAAAATAAGATCTGCAATACCAGCTTATTATTAATATGATCTCTCAAAGGGTAGCAGTAGAATAACTATATAAAGATGTCTAATGGAAATTTTAGTGTATTAAGCATAACTTTGTAGACAAGCATACAAGAATGTATTTCTGACAATCATCTGGATTGAGTCCAATCTCAAGCGCATACTCGAAGAATGAGAGAGCACCCAAATTATATTATTAAGCAATAACAAAGTAGGCATGAGATCACTGACCAGTCATTTCACTTGCATCAGCAACACGACTCTCAGAGTATGATACTGCAGATCCAGAACTAGACCAATTGCTTGGGTCAGCACCCCCCATCTTTTGGAAATTCTGACCAGAAAATGGCCCATTCTCCATTATGATGTGATTTGATTTTTTCTTCTGGGACTTTGACTTTGATGTTGGTGGCTTCAGCCTACTAACTCTAGGTTCATCATCATCCTTGCGATGCATTGGAGTGTAGTTTGCCAATGAACCCTTTGTTCTCCATCTCGAGCCACATGCATTGCAGAGCACTGGCTTATCTGGTGGCCCATTTCGCCAAAGGGGAGTACCTGTTCCAGCATTTCCCATGAGAAAACCATCAAAACTGATACAAAAATATTGCCAGCACACAAGTTCGGCAGTGTGCCCATTACTACTATTTACATGTAGCAAGACATGGTGACATCATGGTACTACGGTAGGGAACATAGAAAAAGGGTAAGAAACTATACATCATCAAGAATGTATCGAGAAGGCATCACGTTACCAATCACATATATTCAGATATTGTTTTCAATGCCTCAAAGGTTAGTTCAACTGTACAGGCATGTAATTCTTAATATGCTGTTCTACGCATTGGCCATACTGAGTGCTGATAGCCACTTCAAAGGAGCATTTTGCAGTAGTAATAGTTGAACAAAGTTCAGACCATATAATGCTGCTGGCACAAGATGGGATAAACCTGTGTAATTACAGAGCAAAGCAATGTTTTCACTTCAATGGCATCCTGAAACTAAGCATGTTTCTGTAGCAGCAGCAGCAGCAATTGAACTCTAAATGGCAGAAGCAAATGGTTACTTTCTTCTTCTTGAATTGGAGCCTGAGCTGAATCTAATCTCTCATTATCTGCAGAAGTCATCAAAGAAGCGTATATCCACCGTAGTCAAACACAAGCCTAAATGTGTTCCGTGAGCATGGTACAAACCGTTCGTCACGTTCAGAATTTTATAGGCAAAGACCCTTGAAACCTCAACCATATCCACAGATTTCTCTTGAACACTGCTGGCAGTTCAATGAATCCAGAGTAGTAATAACCGCCAACGAAAACACAAAGATGAGGAATTCGAGTCCGGTTTTGTCTAAGGCCCGCTTCCCAGATGCATAATCGGGGGAAATCATCACCCGTAAAGTACTAGTTGCTAAGGAACAAAGAGGGAAAGGGAGGAAAACAAGACAAAAATAAAAGAACTGGAAGAAAAAAATTAGCTTTATTCAAGCATAAGAGCTCACTTGTGACTCCGCAATGATGGCAGGGTCCTTGCTTTCCCATGATTCCCTCTGCTCCTCACCTTCCCACAGGTGAAGAAGAATGGACCAGAGGAAAATCTCAACAAAACAAACACGGGAAAACAAAGCAGAAACAAGCAGTTCTCCTGTACAGGTAAATTCTTGAGCAAAAGAAAGGAAAAAAAAAAAAAAGTATTTCTCTGTATGAATCTCGTCAAACCCAGAGGGGGTTCCTGGGGACAATTCCACAGCCCATGGAGGTGCTAAAGAACCACCAAGTCTTGCTTTGGTGTTCTTCTTCCTTTCTCCCTCCCCTTCTATTTGTTTCCTATTGTTCCGTATCCAGTCTTTTAGCGGGGGGGGGAGGAAGGAGAAATGCAGCAGCAGCAGCCGGCGGGGGGGATTAGCAAAGGCAGGATGAAAGGCATTTGGGGACGAATCCAAAAGAATTATACTTTAAAAGGTGTATGTTTTTTATTATATCTAGAGAGAGAAGCACTTAGGAATTGGGCAAAGTTGGGAAAAAAAGATGAGGTACAGTGAGAGAGAAGAGGGGAAACTTTTCTTTCTCTCTTGTTTCTTTCGGCCTTTGGGGTTGATTTTTGTTGTGATTTCATTTCATTCCCAATCGCGTTATTATTCATCTGGATGTGACTAAGTTGGAGCTGAGGATATTTCCTTGAACTAATTATTAGTCAATTTGCTTACCTTAAAGCCCTCCACTCCGGGTGCCATTAAAAGAATCTTTTTATCTTGGACCATTTGCATCTTACCCCCTTGAGAAAGAACACATGTTCAGTCCACCAAAGCCGTGTACCGTAGTGCAACACACAAGCTCAACCGACAATGCATTGTTACATAACAAAGTTGAGATTGAAAAATCCATTTTGATAGGTTAAATGCAATTTGGTGTATAGATTTTAGGGATAGGTTGTAAGCTTACAATATTGTCGGTAAAAGGTGAGAAAAATACAGGAAACATACGTTTCTTGAAAAAGTATAATCGTTGCAACTAATTGACCCATGCTTCTCATATATTATTATAAAACAATTTAGGCGTGTATTTATAAATGTGTTCCAAAAAAGCGGAATATGAGTTATCTTTCACGCTACAATGGTTAGTAACCTATGTTGATAAAGCCTCTAGGCATCAATTCATGGATAAAGATTTGATGCAAAGATGACATGGAGGTGACCAAACAAAGGTGGAAAGTATTCTTGAAGTGATGCTTTTCAGTACATAAAGTAAAGCCAAGGACCGGGAAGGAGTGTGAATTTATATGATGGTAGGAGAAAGATGTAGAGCTTAGAATGTGATGCTAATAACTCCAAATGGGGCAACTAGGAAATGGCAATGGAGTGAATTGCGCGCCAAGTGCTGCCAATAGCAACAATGTCAGGTAAGAACCCCTTAGACTAGAGTTGAGGGCTCGTTCGTGTGACGATTCGCGCGAAAGGGGGGGTGCAGATCATCACGATGCCCCCCCTGTCCCCATCACTGCCTCCCGCTGGCTTCGGCAGCCTCCACCGTCTCCCCGCTGTCCTCCGCTGCCTCCACCGCTCGGCTCCGCCAAAGCACTGCCACCTCCACTCACCCGCCTACGGCTATTATCGACCGGTGAGCCGTCCCAGCCCTTCTCTATGCCCGCCTATGACGAGAGCCCTCTAGAAACCATGAAACCCTAACCCTCGACCCCTAAACCTGCGACCTTCTCCGGCAATGGCATTGGGCGGTGCGGTCGCGCGCTATCACTATCCCATGACTGTGTGCGGTAGAGTTCCTCTAGAGTTTAAGATCGTCGGGCATCCTTTAGATAGGTATGTGGTATCTAGTGGTCGGACAGACATCGTTCATTAGAGGTATATTGGCATAGATGAAAGTTTATAGATCCGCTTCAAAGTATGCATTAGACAGCTAGGGCTACAAGGGCTAAGAGGAATAGCTTTCTTTCGATCGGTTGCCAAGTTATAGAGTTAGATAAATTTTACTTAATTGCACACAAAAAGTTGCTCCCAAAAGAAAGAGCCTTAGAAACATGATAAAAAGAGGCAAAATTTGATAACTATTTGAAATGAGCCTAAACTATATTTGCATTTTTTTAGGTCGATCACAAAGTATGGAAATGACTAAGTTAATAGAGAAAATTTCCATAGTACATCTGGAGATCATTGCCCAACGGCTTAGCGTATAAACACAGATTTGGTGAAGACAAATGTTTATTAGAAATAGAGTGCGGAAAGCACTCCAAGTTCCCAATATGGAGGGATATATAGGCCGGTCCCAAAAGCTGTTTTTAACTTTTAATCGTGCTTGACAAAAATAAATTACTAGGCGATCTCATACTATTCTCTAGGTGATCTTACAAGTTAGTTGTTGAATTGACAGTGGTACAATGATATATTGCTATTTTTTTCCTCTAATAACATACTATATTTGGAATTCCTGATGCTACCTAGCATTTTACACCCAAGACAAGCGACTCTGCGCTGTATCAAATCCAACTAACAACAATCATACAAACTCCAAATCTGACCACATGAATTCTCTCATAAAACTACCTACTACCCGTTTCAGCAGGGCATTAAATTCCGCTTGATTTCAGAGCTTTGCTCACAAAAGATTTTGAGTCTAGCCCACACGTGAATTCGAGTTCTTTTTTTTTAAAAAAAAATAATGAGTATTTTTACAAACATCTATATTTTTGCTTCTCGAATACAGAAGAAAAATGTGCATATTTGTATTCCGATCACATGTGCCAAGCGGTTCGATGGTCCAGCTAATTCTGAATTACATTCTCAAAAACACACTCCTTCCGTCTTAAATTATAAGTCATTTCAACTTTTTTGAAAATTCAAAGAATCTCAAGTTTGATCAAATTTATATAATAAAATAATAACATTTATGATGCCAGGTACGTATCATTAAATTCTTCATTAATTATATTTTCATAGTAACCTATTTGATGTCATAAATCTTTATGATTCTCTCTACAATTTTAGTTAAACTTGAGATATTTTAACTGTCTAATAAAGTTAGAATGACTAATAATTTGTAATAGAGCGAGTACATCTCTTCTTGAAACTAAAGTTTTGAAAGAAAATGAAGCAAAAGTATTGGGGCCTTGTCTGTCAGCCATTCAACGATAGCCACATCTTCACCACTAGGAAGAACAGCGTTAGCAAAACGTTCCGAGACCGAGAGTACTAGCGGCTCCATCAGCTGACGTATGTTTATGTTTACACCAAAAACAGGCGGCCATTAGTATTCAAATCAGGGATGACAGACAAACGCTGCGTCAGAAATTAGGCGACTTTTACGTGCCAAGCAAATTAGGCATGCATCGTGAAGGCAGGGGCAGGGTCACCTCATGCGAGCCATATTTTACTCTTGTTGAGCCCACCAAAAGGTCGGTCTCTCTTCTGACTTCTGGATACGGTTAACATGGTGGGCACACTGGTTGGTACAAGCCAGCCAGTCTGCCCAACCTTGCTAGTTATATATAATATACCAAACACAGATATTCAGAAACAGAAGGCTCCTAAGATAATATTGGAAAATACTGTGCTAATTTTTATATATGGAGCCAATGGATTTTTTTTCTCAAAAGAAAATTCCAACAGATTTTTCTAGAAGTAAATCCAATGGACCATACGACACATAGCTAGGTAGATGCCTAGAAGCAGACGGTGACATACAATGGAATGAAGTGGCCAAGGGGGTATGAGATATAGAATTTTTTTTAATTTTAATATTTTTTGAAAACTAATTTTAAATCTAACATTGTCGGATTTTTTTAACTAACACTTTTGGCCGCACCTATTGCCCTAGCGCGGCCAAATGCTTGTGTCGCGCCATGCATGGTGGCGCGGCAGCGGGCTAACGTGGCAACGACCGGATTCGCTAACTGCTGATGTGGCGGGGCCTGCCACGCCACCGATCTTAGCGCGGCAGTGCCACTCCCTGATCCGTGGCGCGGCAGAGCCGAATATAACCCCCACGGCTAGTCCCGCCTGCCCGAACAGCAAACCCCGCCTGGCCGCCGCGCCCGCCCCCCGCCCGGCCCTCCGTTGCCGCCTCCCTCCATTCCCTTCCATTCCCCGGCCGTCTCCCTCCCTTCTCGTCCTCGTTCAAGGTAATGACGCATATTTTATTTTTGTTTGAATGGTGGATATGATTTTATGAATGGGAGTTAAGGTTAGGAGGAAAATTATGTTTGGGAACTATGGGCTGCGGTTTGAAGGAAGATATTAGTTTGATTTTGTCAATGTTAAGATTAATTATCTAGTTAGAAGTATGTTTACCATGTATATTTTTGTTGCTATAAGTGTTGGTTACATTATTTTAGTTGCAATACAAATGATTATATTTTACATTATTTTGCGTTGTTTTGATTGATGTTTAATTTGAACCGTTTTATTAGATAGAAGACATGTTTCGGGAGCAGTTATGGCGACAACGGGGTCGTCCTAAAGAATTGTACCCCGACGAGTCTAGTAAAGATGCCCTCGTCCCTCCTGAACTACCTGTCCCTAATTATGACTGTGGACGTCCGGCCGACGTGTTTCAATCAAGACATCCGGACACAGCGGCTCGTTGCTTCTGCACGTGCAGTCGTTTTAATGTAAGTAATTGTTTCCGTATGTTTTTCTTCTTCATTTATATTATTAAGTTAATAATATTTTGTTGAATTTTTGTTGTGTAGGCCCATGAGAGGTGCTTTTTCTTTCAGTGGATCGACGGTGCAGACAAGTTTGACCCCAGGTACCTCCTTTTCGACGATTGGTGGAGAGGGCGACATCCACGAGAGCACTTCGAGCGGTGGGTTCCACCTCCCCCTAACCCCCTCCAATGACGGCTAAGGAGAAGCACTTAGCCGCAGTTAGACGACTCGAGGAACCTCCTCTGTGCGATTGCGGAGATCGAGCTGTGATAAACCCTGACAATACGTTGGAGTTTGTGTGTCAAACAAGCATAACGTAAGTGCAAAGTGTATGTGTTGAAATGTTGAGCTATATGTGTTCATGTACTAATGTCACGTTATTTAGGTGTATTCAATGGCGAAGTGTCGTTTCAATGAGTGGTTGTATGGTCCTAAGAACAAATGGCCCAAAAAACCTCTAAAGGCAAAGCAAAAGAAGAAAGAAAGGTTAATTTACAAAGCACCGCCAGTCAAGTGCGAATGTGGTGTTAAATCCAACTACGGTCTAGTCCCTTCGGAGCTTGGAATAGGCCATTATTGTGGCCATATGATTGACTATGATGAGGTTGGTTATTTTTGTGGTAACCATCAAATCGTATTTTGTTTCTTTTGCTAAGACATATATGATATAATTTTTCGTTTGAACAGAGCACTAGGAAATGCAGGTGGGAATGTTATGATGGTCAAGCTAAATTCTTGGATGAACTAAAGGGGAGGCAAGTAATTGCACGGAAGAAGGAATATGGACCTGACTACGTCAACCTTTTCGTTAAACATCACAAAGACAAGATGCATGAATTTGCTAGACATCACGGTATTTGTAACCCGATCGACGTTGGGCTTGAGAAATGAGGATTGGAGAGATGGATGACATTAGAGGAGGAGAGGGCAAGGAAGGAGACAAGAGTACAGATGCAGGTTTTGAACGAGCATGTTGTTGCATTATGTGCTAGTGAGTGCTTGAAAGCCTTTTTTTTGTTGCCTGATTTTAAATGTTGCCTGATTTTTTTTCATCGCTAGGTGATTGCATTTTATACATGAAGGGATTGGATGCAGCGAGGACCATGC